TTAACCCAGGGGTACTTTACCACTGAGCCACAACCCCAGCCCTTTTAAATATTTCATTTAGAAACAGGGTCTCACTAAATTGCTTGGGGCCTCACTAAGTTGCTGAGGCTGGCTTTGAATTCATGACCCTCCAGCCTCAGCCTCCTGAGCTGCTGGGATTACAGGTGTATGACACCCCACCCAACCCCATTATTGCTTTTCAAAACTTTCCTACTTGCTCACCCTTGCTAGGTTGGAGAGTGGGTGTAGGAAGAGAGCTGAGCACAAGTAAGGTCAACCCAGAGCAATCCCTGTGAGTGACCTCTGGAGGTCAGGAAACTTCCACTGCCCCACAGACATGCTACCCACAGAGTTGCACTTCAGCTAATGAAAGTTTGTTTGTTTATTTATTTATTTTGTTACCAGGGATTGAACACAGGTTCACTTAACCACTGAGCTACATCCCCAGACCTTTTTTTTTTTTTTTTTTGAGACAAGAGTCTTGCTAAGTTTTTCAGAGCCTCACTAAATTGAGCTGGTCGTAAACTTGAGATCCTTTTGCCTCAATATGCCAAACCACTGGGATTACAGGTGTGTGCCACCATACCTGGCTTGATAGAGGTATTTAAAAAGCTGAAATTTTACTCAGGGAAAGCGCACACACCTGTAATCCCAGCAATCTGGCAGACTGAGGCAAAGCAGGTTCAAGGGCAGCCTCGGCAACTTAGCAAGGGCTGGGGATGCAGCTCAGTGGTAGAGTGTTGCCTGGTATGTGTGAGGCCCTGGGTTCCATCCTCAGCACCACCCACCCACACACAGAGCCGAAACTTCAACTTAAAATAGTGAAACTCTTAAATCACTTACAGTGAACTCTGGTTGAGTATTGAACTTAAGTTGTCTTCTGTATAGGAGTATGGAGTTGTACAGTTTTACAATTCTATATAGAAGAACCTACAAACACAGACAAGTATATTCCAGGTTTATAATATCTGCACTTTGCATTGGTAACCACTATTCATAAATGTTATTCACTTAACTTTCTGGTACATTGAGAAAATCCAGTTTTGTACCAACTGTGTTACTGAAACCTTGGCTGACACCTATTGCCAATTCTGCTGAGGAGTTGGGTGATAAACATGGAGTGTTTAGCCAGAAGATTTTACCCTTGACCACCACAGATAGTCTGACTCGCCGTGATTCTGCCTCATCTGTGTATTCACATAGCAGATATCTTTCCAGAATCTGAAATAGTGTCAATCGCCTGCTTTATATGACCAACACGCATCTGCATTGGGACATTATTTCTGTGACGGTCTGTGATTTCTTACATGGTTCTTGTAACAAATGTACATTTTGATTTATGCAGCCTCGCTTGATCCTCTATGCACCTGTGGCCCGGCCCTCCTTGACTGTCCTCTCTTGACTGCCCTCAGTCTGTTCTCCTGAGCACCTTTTCTCTCCTCCCAGGCCTGAGTTTCAGTCTGCTATACCAGGATGGGACCCCATTCAGGGACCACCTGGACCCCTGCTGCCTGGGCCCTTCCTGGGCTTCCTTCAGGGACTGCTCTCTGGGATCAGGTCTGGGTCTCCTCTTCCGCAGTGCAGCCCCTTCCTCCACCAACCAGTCCTCATTCCAATTTTTTTTTTAAAGAGTGAGAGAGAGTGAGAAAGAGGGAGAGAGAGAGAGAATTTTAATATTTATTTTTTAGTATTTGGTGGACACAACATCTTTGTCTGTATGTGGTGCTGAGGATCGAACCCAGACCGCATGCATGCCAGGCGAGCTCGCTACTACTTGAGCCACATCCCCAGCCCCCTCATTCCACTTTTAAGAGTCATGGCTGAAGGGCTGTTCCTGGGGCAGGGGAAGCCTTGCCCTCAGACTTCCTGCCTGTCCCACCTCAGACTGTAGACATTTTCATTTCACAGTTATACGGAGGAGGAAGGGCCTGCAGGCCAAGAAATAAACATAAGAGGTTGCAAGCTCAGCACAGGGCGGAACATTCACATGGAATGTTCTAGAAGCTATAGAAAGGGTAGGCCACTGACAGCATTTGAAATGCTGTCTGTCCCCTCTGTCTAAGGACAGATATGTGCTTCCTTTTCCTGGCCTGCTTCTTGCCACCTCGGTTGTAGGTTAACTGCTGACTTCTAGGCCTCCAAACCCTGGATTAGCTGAGCTGCTGCAGTTCCTTGCGGAGCCCGAGCCTCTCATCCATGAACTACTGCACTGTGTCATGTCTGTCCCTCCATGTGACTGTGTCACCCCTTGGCTTCACCCTCACTGAGTTCTGGGACTGGTGGATCAGCACACAAAACCAGCACAGACAGATGGATATGGATTTCAGACCAACAATGAACAGATTTCTAGTATCCGCACGCCCCATGCCTGTTCTGCACAGAGGGTTTCTGCTGTGAACCTCGTGGGGTCTGACCCAGGATGGGTGCCCATTTTGATAAATGAATGAGCAGAGATTTCCCGGCAGCATTCAGGGCATGCAGCCAGAGGCAGATGGGAGCCTGGGTTTTGCAAGCCTGTGCTGACCTCGATGCGGCTAAGCCCATACAATCATCCTTTTCTCCCCCGGCAGAGAGTGACAAAACTTTAAATGTACACTAACTGCAGAAGAACAGTGGCTTATCTGTCAAGTGCCATCCTCATCTCTCAGGGTATTAAAGTGAGAATTATGGACCAGCCATGTCAAAGAAGCCGGGTGAGCTTCATTAGAGAATAAGTTGGAGAAGAATAATTGGAAAGGTTGTAAGAGTCAGCAGTGCTGAGGTCAACCCCAGGAAGGCCCGTTCCCATTTGATCAGGTCCATCCATGCTCCTCTGGGAAGGTGGGGCCATGGTTCTCCAGCTGAGGGAAGTGGCTCACTGGAGGTGGGTCTTAAGCGGCACCTGGGGTGAATGACAAGGCTTGGATTTAAACCTGGGTTTGTCTGAATGAAAACTTGCGCTATTAACCAGCACTTGGAGACTGTGGGAACACTTGTCTCGGAGCCAAGGTGGATGGATAACTGGTGAGCTGAGGCTTATAAGGCTCAGGAGGCCGTGAATGTGCCCTGAAGCCAGAAGAGGGAGAGAGAGGCCCAAAGGTGCCCTGAGCCTTCCTCAGGGTGACTCCGGCTGCGTGGATACCAGCATCTCTCTGGAGAAACCTTGCTCTCTGCATACAGTCATTGAGCACCCTCTCTATCCATGATACTGACATGCTCCCTGGTGCAATTTCAGCTTTAAATGGACAGAGAAAAATCTTACTGCCAACTCCTCAAGGTTAAATGTTCCTCAGGAAGTAAAACATCTCACTTTACTGAATCAGAGAGTGCACTGTGTGTGGCTGCCTTGCACTGACCACAGCTTGGCGTCTTCAAGTGTAAACCAGTCCTTTGAGAGAAGTGCCAGGTGCCTGTCATGGTGGCTCAATATTCTTAGAAATTGAGTCAAAGAAAAAAATCCTTTGTCTTAATGCTGACTTCCCAGTTAGGATGCAGGGCAGGGCTATCACCTGGACAGATCTGGGCCATGGAGAGCTTTGTGGCTCAATCCATGTTTAATGTCTTTGTCAAGAACTCATACTTGCCAGGTGACCACAAGTCTCACTCTCTCATATGGCACCTGCAGACCCTTGCCACCCATCTTGAACACAAAGTTGAAATGCCTGAAAATTTTGTTAAGTATGACATTTTTTTTGTCTGTATATATGTACAGAGATCCTGATATTTGTTTAAGAGAATTTGATTTTTAAAATGTGAGGATTTCATTCGGATCTTTTTCAAGGAAGAACAGGCATCTGGAACAGACAGGCTGTGTCTGTGGCCCCAGCAACTCAGGAGGCTGAGGCAGGAGGACTGCAGTTCAAGGCCAGCCTCAGCAACTCAGGAAGACCCTGTCTCAATAATAAATAAATAAATAGATAGATAGATAGATAGATAAATAAATAAATAAAAGTCTGGAATGTAGCTCAGAGGCAAATTACCCTTGGGTTCTATCCCTAGGACCAAACAAACAATCAAACAAGGGACGGGATTGATCATGTTGATGTTGCCACTTGGGTGTTGTGTGGAGGCCTCTTCATGGATGACTCAGAGAGGGACATGTGCTGCCTACAGAACTTGGCTGCTAGGACATCCTGGCTCTGTGGCTGATATCCCTTGAGGTGCCACACCCTTGAGGATGAGCTTACATGTTGGAACTCGAGGCCACCATGCTTTAAGGGCAGAAGTGGGGAGTAAGCTTGCCTTTTGAAATCTGAATATTAACTACTCTGAGTGTCTAGTCAGAGTAAGGAAAGGTTCTCAAGAATCAGAATAAAATTAGATTACATTGGGTTCATCTGATGAGTCCCTACTCTGCTCCTGGTTCAGGGAAGCAGTAACTAACTAAAGTCTGGTGTAATCTTTTAAGACATGGCATATTTAATTTGGCAATTATTATTAATATAAATGATTATTAATAGATGATTTTTTTTCAACTTAGTGATGAAGTGGGTACCATTTCCTCCCCCTAATGTGGATAATTAGCTATGAAGGGAATAATTATAAGTAAAAATCAAATTAAATGATTTTATATGCTTGGAGAAATATGAAATGTTCTCCTCATTAGTTTTCATAATTAAGAACCCTAACCTAAAACTCTTCAATAACATAATGATAAATAATGTAATATTTTATTTTAGTTCTATATTATGGTCAGTTAGGAAGAAAATGAAGGCAGAAGACACAGACTCCTGGAGAATTAGGTCAGGGAATTTGGAGGTTTGACCTAAGCTGTCTGAGGTCCATCAAGGGAAGTCCTCCTGGGGTCATTCCTGCTGCATAAGAAGAAACTCAGACTTGGGGGTCCTTTGGTGTGACCTAGCCCTACCTACGCATTGGGGTCAGGATGGAGAGAGACTTAGGACCCTCTCTGGATGATTGACACCAGCAGAAGGAAAAGATGCAAGAGAATCAAAAGCTTGAACAATAGAGTCCAAGGGACTTGGATGGCCCTGCCAAGCAGCCCACCCAGCAGTAGCAGGTTACCGAAACTTCTCAGGCCCGTGAAGCAGCTGCCACCATGGGCCACATCCAGGTCCTGAGAAGGGAGCCAAGGAATAGCCAAGAATAACCTGAATGATATTCCCTGACCACAACGGAACCCAGGTAGAAACCCATAACTCAGAGACCTGCAGCACTTGCCAGAGTTTGGAAGGTAAATGATACAATCCCGAGAAGACCTCAAAGTCCAAGCTGGGAAGGGTTTCCAGCTGAATGGAGATGAAAAGCAACATATGGAAACCATGGACCGCGGGGAAGGTGTGTTGCCAACAGCCTCCACATCACTGATCGTCATGGAAACGCACATCCCCACCATCCCACAGTCACCGCGGCCCAGGGGAAGGACAGCAGCTGGCAAATGCTGAGGAGGGTGCCAGGACAGGGCACACATTGACCCCTGTGGGGAAGCAAGTTAGTAACCTGGGGAACAGGGAGCCCCCATATGACCTGGCCGTCCCAGCACTGGACATGTGCCCGAGGGCAAGAAATCACCTCTACAGGCTACAGCTACAGAGGCTGAGCTCACTGCACCTGAGCGTGGGATCTGCCTGGATGTCCATCAGCTGAGCCTTGGATCAGGAGAATATGCTGCACATGCACAGCAGGGCACAGCTGGAGAAAGGGACAGGGTCCTGTCCTTGTGACAACAGAACAAATCCAGAGGACATTACATTATGTGAAATAAGCCAGACTCAGAAAAACAAAGCCTGTATGATCTCACTCATGATGTGGAATCTTAAAAACTAAATCTCATAAAAATGGACAGTGGCTACCAGAGGCTGAGGGACGAGGGCGGGGCTGGTGGATGGCACAGCAAAAGGAAGAAGGGGTAATTTCTGGGGTTCCCTGCCTAGTGTGAGCACATTTCACAACCGGATTGTGGAGTCGGCAGAAGGGAGGACAGATATGTCATGTGCAATGTATGTGCATAGTTATTTTCTAATTATACACACACAGCTATGCATGCATACATACAGCCATTTGCACACATGCATACTTGCGCAAGAGAAGGGTAAAGCCTGTTTCCGTGGTGCCTTAGGACTTAGTGAACTAGAAAGCTCAGGAGGTCTCCTAGGAAGCTGGGAGCCACTCTGGGAATGCCTCCTTTTGAGGGTTGCCCATGGACTTCTCCACTGTGTCTCATCATTTTGACTTACAGTTGTGTTTCTAGACGGTATTTACCATATTTTAAATATTTATCCCTCACAAGATCAATCTTAGCTCACACGAGTACACACTGAATTTCAAAAGCACCAATGAGTAGCCGAGGAAG